CCTCCTCGTGGTTCTTCTTCATGAAGAGGAGCTCCTCCTTGAGAGCCTCGATCTCTGACTCCAGCTGCAGTCGAGTGATATTGGTGTCATCAATGACCTTGCGGAGCCCATGGATGTCACTCTCCACAGATTGGCGCATGGCCAGTTCTGTCTCATACCTGTGGGAATGGAGGTGATCAGGAGCCCCTGTCTCCGATCCGGAACCTTCTCAACCCATGCCACCTCTAAAGAGCAGCCCTGTCCTCATTGTTCAGCTAGCAACCTGAGCCAGCAATCAGATGGTGGACCCCTAAGCACCATTGTTGGCACTTGGGTGGCAGTATCCATAAATTGGGTCACACACGTGAATAGTTAAATGAATAAAATGATGAACCCTCACTCTTTTTTCTTTTTGAGACGGAGCCTCAAGCTATCCCCCTGGGTAGAGTGCCATGGCATCACGCTCACAGCAACCTCCAACTCTTGGGCTCAAGCGAGTCTCCTGCCTCAGCCTCCCAAGTAGCTGGGACCACAGGCACCCGCCACAACGCCTGGCCATTTTTTGGTTGCAGCCATCATTGTTGTTTGGCGGGCCCGGGCTGGGGATTCAAACCTGCCACCTTAGGTGTATGTGGCTGGCGCCTTAGCCGCTTGAGCCACAGGCGCCGAGCCAGAACCCTCACTCTTCATCTGCCCAACCCCATTCGCACCTGAAGGAAAATCCCACTCTAGTGAGATTTCCTGACTCAGCCTGGGAAACAGACTGTTCTTAGCTCCACTGTGGCCTCCCAACCCTCCAGTTCCCAGACTTACTTGACTCTAAAGTCATCAGCAGCAAGACGGGCATTGTCAATCTGCAGAACGATGCGGGCATTGTCCACAGAATTGGCAAAGATCTGCGGGAATTATCAGAGAGGTCACTCCATGAGTGGAAAGTCAGTGATGGGTGGGTCATGTGTGTGGAAAGGCTTACCTGTCTCAGAAAAACCTTCCTGGTCCCAGGAATAGTGAGAAGCTCCCCTTGTGTACCTATCCCTTTCTACTTACATCCGCTTCACCCCCTAACTGTTTCCACCTTTTCTGGACTCTCAAATCTCAGCACTTTGCCACTCATACAGGGCCTCAGCAGGCTGATTGGCTGGCCTGTCAGGAAATGAGCAGCTATTAACAAGGCCCCTCCCTGGCATTTTTTTTCTACTGCACCTGCTCACCCCCTGCTATGGGCCCCCCACCCCCAGCATTGGCCCTTTCCACAGGTAGGCCTCTTGTTTACTCTTAGATGACTCAGCCTTAGCCACATCCGCTTAACCCTCTAACTGTCCCCACGCCACCAGAAACCATTGTCCAGGTCCTCTCTACCAGCCTGTCCTCATCTCTCTCCATGCTGTCCATTTCCTCCCCCAAAGCTCTAGTCCCTGTCCCTTTCCCATCATCTCTTGGGAAAGAGCCTTCACATGCTTGGGGTCCCTGTGGCCAGGAGTGCAGACGGAAATCCAGGGCATTCCTAACCCCTCCCCGTGGAGGAGGGGAGTGGAGGAGTCAGTGTACCCCTCGGGGTTGGTTTCTATCCTTGAGGAAAAGAAGCAAGGGAGTGTGTAACATGGCTGGGTCAAACATGGCTGGGAGTTGGGGCTCCTTTCTCCACACCTCTTACCTGAGCCCTCAGGTCCTCGATGGTCTTGAAGTAATGCGCCCAGTCTCTGACCTGGGGCCCCTTCTTCTCCAGGTGTTCACGGATTTTGCTCTCCAGCCTCCGATTGTCGGTCTCCAGGTTCCTCACTCTGTCCAGGTAGGAGGCCAGGCGGTCGTTCAGTTCTTGCATGGTCTCCTTCTCGGTCTGGATGCCCCCTATTCCCGCCAGCCCCCCGGCCATTCCTGTGGCCAGGCCCCCAGACCCCCAGCCGCCCCGGAAGCTGGTGGAGCGGGACATGGAGATCCGGGAGCCGGAGCCCCCGGCGCCTGCATAGACGCTGGCGGCGCTGCTGGCGGGCCGGACACTGTAACTGGGTCCCTGGACTGAGCCCAGGGACCGGTAATTGCTGGAGAAGGTGGTGGAACGAGTAGTAAAGGACATGATGTCAGAAGAGGAGAGGACAAAACTCGGGCGAGCTGGGGAGCACGGCGGTCTGCTACTTAAGTTATATTGCCGAGGAGGCCCCGCCCTCCCGCCACCAGAGCCGCCTCGGAAGCCCCGGCCACAGGTGGCCCGCAGCGGGAGCGCGCGCCCTGGCTCCGGTCCCCTCCGGCTTCCCGGCCTGGGCGGCCCCGCCCTGCCCCGGTGCCCTCCCACCCCCGCTAGCCTGGCCCGCCCAGCGACCCACCCACCCACCCACCGCCCCAAGGTGACTAGTGCGGAGGAGCGCAGCAGGTTTATTAAGTGTCCCTTGAGGCCGGGCTTTGGGGCAGGAGGAAATGACGTTATTGTACCCCTTTGCCCCAGGTAGAGGAAGTGCTGGCAGGTTGGAAATGTAGAGGTCCTAGTGGTGGGCCAGTACAGTGAGGTGTGAATGTCTATAGATGCCCTCTACCTCAGCCCAAATTCTCCACCTGCAGAGTCCTCGGGAAGAAAAGCTGGGAGGTGGAGAAGAGAAAGCAAATCTCAACCCGAGCCTCCAATCTGCTAGTTTACTCACACTCCATCCCCTCGGCACTTGGTTCCCGAACACTGCTGCCTGTGCACGAGTCACAAGATGCACATTCTCAAATGCACACAGGCCCATTCACTTACTGGACAGGTTCAGACTCCGGAAAACGAACCCAGTCTCTGAGCCCCTTCTTGCCTCCTTTCCCTGCCCTCAAATCCAGAGCCTCGGCCTCAGTGCAACACTTTGTGATCTGGACACGTCTGTATTTATTTAGTTATCTACTTTTTGAGACAGAGTCTCACTATGTCGCCCTGGGTAGAGTGCCATGTTGCCACAGTTCACAGCAACCTTAAACTCTTGGGCTTAAGCAATTCTCTTACCTTAGCCTCCTAAGTAGCTGGGACTACAGGTGCCCGGCTATTTTTTGTTGTAATTGTCATCGTTGTTTTAGCTGGCCTGGGCCAAGTTCGAACGTGCCACCCTCGGTGTATGTGGCTGGCACCGTAAACCACTGTACTACAGGCACCAAGCCTGGACACGTCTTTATGATAATTGTCTATCAGCCTTGCTTGCAACCTTGGGTACACAGATACTTCCAGAGCACTTACAATTCCACAAATAGTTATTGGACACCTGCTGTGTGCCAGGGTCAGTTCTAAGAGCCAGGAGAACAGCAGCGAACAAAAGAGTCCCAAATCCCTCCTTGAGATGCTAATATGTCCACAGAGCCGGGAGCCTGAGAGGACACTGGTAGCTTTGAAGCATTCTAGCTGAGACTTAGTCCTGGCTGCCAGTTTCCTTAGTCAGAAGGATGGAGGTAAGAAAACTCCCACCCCATCGCCCACCTCCCGCCCCAAACTGAATGACAATCCCTTGCTGAATGAACTGGGGGAAGCTCTGAGGTGTTGGCCCTTCAAGTCCGTCTGCACTAGCAGCTCATTTTTCTGGAAGGCCTGGTGTTATAGGTTTGACTGTGCTCTTTGGCCTGGAATGGACCTATTGATTCGTATCAAGCTGCCAGCTGAACTGAGGAGAGGGCAGACCAGAGGCAGGCCTGGAAGGGAAGAGACCTGGGAGTATTCGGGCCAGTGGACCAGGCAGGAGGGAGGCATAGCTCAGGTGCAGAGCCTGACACTGGATGGTTCTTGGCCTGCCACATTATGGTGGGGAAAGCCCCACAGTACTCAGTGGGAGCTGGCCAGCAGTATCAGGGTCTGCTGAAGGCTGGGAGGCAAATTGGATGCAAAACAACATGCAAACAGATGCCCACTGGTTTTGCACAGATGAATTCTGGGAGGTTAGAGGTTCCAGCCAGCCAAAGGGCTTTCTTATGCTTTTACCTTCATGTTCCCCCATGGATTCCAGTCATGTTGTGAAGAATTATACAACAAAGTACATTGATTAAACATGCAATGTACTGCTTTTTGCTGTTGTTACTAATTTTAAAGCCAGCCAGCTAGCCAGCCCTTGAGGAAGTCACTTAACTATGAACCTCAGTTTCTTCACTGGTTCAGAGGTTCACCACTGAACCTCTTCTTCACAGGAGAATAAAGAAGCCCATCCAGGCTATCTCCTGGGGTGGCAGTGGATGTGATGTGAGTTATTGCTCACTCATTCATTGAACAAATAATAATTACTTACTGTAGATTAAGGTTTTAACACACCCAGGAGGACAGAAGTAAGTCTAATTTTAAAGATGGTTCAAAGGATGAGAAGTATCTCCTTAAGTCACTAAAGATCCCACAGGGATTTTGAACTCTACCAGCAATCAGACCCAGACTTTGGATTTCTTATCCAAGCTCTTTCCTAGATCCTCCTCTGAGCTCTGCTCTACCTAACTGCTCAGAACCTTTGCCTGTGGAGGCACAGACTGGGGACTGGTGGTGGGGAGCTGCCAGTTGGACCTCTTTTATCATAGCAAAGTTGACGGCTGCATTCCTGACCTCTTGTAGCACTGGTGCAAATATCTACCTTAGGCTTCCAGCACCAGCCTGCCCTCTTCCCTCCACTTTCAGATTCCTCTGTGGTTCAGGGCCTTTTTTCTCAGACTGAGAGCCTCTTGGAGAGCAAGTGAGAGGGGTGTGAGGGAGGAGTGGCAGTCTCTAGATTTCCCGCACCACAGCTCTGGGGTATGGTAGGAGGTAAGGTGGAAAGGGGGAAGGGGTAATAGGTAGGCCAGCCCTGGGGGAGGGTGGCTCTGAGGGGCCCTGTGAGCCTCTCCCAGAACTAAGATGGGTTGAGTAAAGAGCTTCACGTAGGGGTAGTCCGGAAGGAGGGGAAATGGTTCTCCACCCCCAATCTGCCTTGCATTCCAGAGTCTTGCTGCAGGGGAGTGGGACCTGTGAGGCAGGTTTAATTTCTGAGTAAACTGAGATGACCCTGATAGAGGTGGGTCATCTCTGCCTGCCCCTCCACATTCTCCCAGTGGGGGCTGGGGTTGATGGCTCTGGGGAAACCAGATTGGGGAGATTAGAGGATTAGGGAGGATTTTGAGAATCTGGAGTCCTTCAGGCTCTGCTTTGACATTTAGGCTGGAAAGTTCTTGTCTGGCCCAGAGGCGGGAGCAAACAAAGTGTGAGGGGTGGGGGTCCATAGCAAAGTGGAGAGAGCTGACTCTTCAAATTCCTGTGGGTTAGAGATAGTGAGAGATCCATAGGAGGGGAGGTTTGGAGGGATTGAGGGGGTGGGGATGGCTGGAGGGAGAGGGACTGAGGGGGGCTCAGTCCTGAGGGGCTCCCCATGGCTCCCTTAGGCTACTCTCAGGGGAGGGTCTAGTCTGAGTGCCATGGGCAGGAGGAACCCAAGCCCTACTGAGTTGGGGCACAGCAGTGGGAAAAAGGGACAGGGTGGAACCCAGAGGACAAGAAGTCTGGGATGGAACAGGAATCCTCATGCCGAGCCCTGCATCTGGCATGGAGTGGGGCTCCATAAATAATTTAGGTTTAAGTAATTAACAAAAGGGTACTAGAAAAGGTCAGGAGGACCAGAAACTACAGTTGTATAGACTAAGGAGAGAGGGGAGGTAGGCCAGAGGCAGCTGTGGAGACGGGCTAAGGGGGATTGCAGCTGGGTTGGATGCAGGGCCCAGTCAGGAGTTTAGGAATCTCTCTGGAGGTCCCCATTCCCCATGTGGAAGCCCTGGCCCTGCCTGTCCAGTGTGGAGTAGGGGAGAGGTTCTGAGGGTTGAGTCAGGCATTCTCTCCCAGGGGTGAGAGGGTCAAAGAATATTTCTATATTTTTAGTACCACTTCTTCAGTTGGGTTTGTACCCAGTGAGTTATTCCCCAGGGGTAAGGGAAGAGGAAGACTCAGCACCAAGGAGCATGTGACTGCCCGGGAATCTCTAGGTATTGAAGCTCAGTGGATTCTGGGGGACTTGGCCTTTCTAGGAGCCCCCCTCAGTGGCCTGGTCCCTACTCCAGCCTCTTCTGGCAAAGCCAGTTCTCACCTACCATGACTAGCCTATTTTTTCCCTTTCAACCAAGGCTTAGGGCAGAGTGGCTAGGACTGAGTCTGTGAGAAAGAAGGTAAAATGGAAGAGTGGAGTGGCTAAGAACCTGCCTCCAGACCATCCAGTCACTCAGTTGGCTGTGTCTTCCTGGCCCGGACATGACAGATCTGCCTGCAGTGTCTGGGGGACCCATCCTGTGAGCAGCTAGAAAAGCAAATATAGGCTGTGCATGGTGGCTCATGCCTGTAATCCCAGCCCTTTGGAGGCTGAGGAGTGAGGATCACTTGAGCCCAAAGTTGGAGGTTATGGTGAGCTATGATCATAGCTGTACTCCAGCCTGGGCAAGAGAGCAAGACTCTATTTCAGAAATAAAAGAATATTGCTTTTTCTTTTCTTTTTTTGAGACAGAGCCTCAAGCTATCCCCCAGTGTAGAGTGCAATGGCATCACAGCTCACAGCAACCTCCAACTCCTGGGCTCAAGCGAGTCTCCTGCCTCAGCCTCTCAAGTAACTGGGACCACAGGTGCCCGCCACAAAGCTCGGCTATTTTTTTGTTGCAGCCGTCATTGTTGTTTGGTGGGCCGGGCTGGATTCGATCCCACCACCTTAGGTGTATGTGGCTGGCGCCTTAGCCATTTGAGCCACAGGCGCTGAACCAGAATATTGCTTTTCCAACGTCAATTTTCTTTCTTTTTTTTTTTTTTTTGAGA